CGATATATATCAACTTTGATATATCAATTTTGTATGAAAGCCATAGTATTATTTTATTGTATTATTCATGAATACTATTGCATATGTGTTACATAAACATGTTTTTAATGTTTTTAAAACTTAAAATCAGACAAATAAAGCAAAAACATAAAATATCTTTAAAATACGGCAAAATCAACTAAAAAAATAAAAATCTTATGTCAAAAAGTACAAATACAGTAACAAATTTTAAAAGTTGATATATATCATCAAAACCGGCTTGATATATATCGGATATATATCCGATATATATCTTGATATATATCCCTTGATATACAGGGTGTTTCTTGTAAGGTGTCAAGCCGAAGGCAGGTGATAGGTGAGGACTAGACCTATCGATTTCACCCCCATGTATGTTCTACGATTTTTCGTAGTTTAGAAGTTATCGTTAATTTTGAGATTTTTTCAAATTTTATGACCAAGTGGCTTAATTTTTTGTTATCTTTTTTTTGGGTTGACTTTTCTCAGATTTCTTTTTTTTGACAGATTCCCTATTAGTTGCAGATATTTGAAAAAAATAATCACCTTCCTATCTTTGATGCAAGATACAAAATTTTTGCTACAAACATAAAAAATATGCTTTTAGCAGAACATTCTAAAATTTTCAACTGAAATGTATGAGAAAAAAAAAGAATTTCCATAGGTCCAAAATAATTTTAAAAACTGCGCAGTTCCCTAAACTTTCATAATAACACAAAAAAACATGTACTTAATAGGCCATTATTTTCTGTAATCGCTCCACACACACACACACACACACACACACCCTTTGTGTTTCTCGTCAGTTATTGTCTCTAAACGTGTTCTACGTAACGTAAACTTAGTGGATTGCAAACATTACTTAGTCCTAAGAAAGTCAAAAACATGTAACGGAATCTCCAACTTACTACTTTAGTAGAGCGATTACAGAAAATAATGGCCTATTAAGTACATGTTTTTTTGTATTATTATGAAATTTTAGGAAACTGCGCAGTTTTTGAAATTATTTTGGACCTATGGAAATTCTTTTTTTTTCTCATACATTTCAGTTGAAAATTTTAGAATGTTCTGCTAAAAGCATATTTTTTATGTTTCTAGCAAAAATTTTGTATCTTGCATCAAAGATAGAAAGGTAATTATTTTTTTCAAATATCTGCAACTAATAGGGAATCTGTCAAAAAAAAGAAATCTGAGAAAAGTCAACCCAAAAAAAAGATAAAAAAAAATTAAGCCACTAGGTCATAAAATTTGAAAAAATCTCAAAATTAACGATAACTTCTAAACTACGAAAAATCGTAGAACATACATGGGGGTGAAATCGATAGGTCTAGTTCTCACCTATCACCTGCCTTCGGCTTGACACCTTACAAGAAACACCGTGTATATCCTCGAACCCTGCATAGGATCTACATATAGTAAATCTACAAATAAGTATCATTACACAGAGAGAGTAAAAATTTTGTGAGCTGATAAAGTGGCATTAAAAAGTTTTTCAGCAGTTTTCGCGACCTGTGACACACGACACAGACTTTTATCCGCAGTTGACTTTTTTATGGAGTACTTATAGTCCTCTGTGTGCGTTATTCGAAACACTGTTACTGGCAAGCTCCAAGCCCCAGGTAAACTTGGCGGCGCACTGTAGCAGACGAGGCGAAGAAAATCGGCAAGACCTGGAGCGAGATCAAACGCGAAGCTCAAGACCGAACGCGATGGAGGACTGTTGTGGACGCCCTCTGCCCCATCTCGGGGACATAGGACCTTAAGTCAAGTAAGTCAAGTTATGGGATCTACAGGGTGTTTAAACCTGATTAAACAAAAACGATTGATTCTACTCTAACTCTAATACAACAAAAGAAATGTTAGTCAAATAATATATTAAATGAATTGCTGATGAAAATTGTACACGGCCCTTGGGGAAAGATGTTGCATTTAAGCAGTCAGTATAAGTATGTTTTGATCAAGTATAAAAATAACACATAAAAAGTTTTGATGGTTACAAACGGCGATTTGGATTGAATATTTTTACATTATTGTAAACTAGCTTTTACCCGCGGCTTCACCCGCGTGAATAATACTGTAAAGTTTCATCAAAATCCGTTCAGTAGTTTTTGCGTGAAAGTGTAACAATCATCTAGACATCCACACAAACTTTCGCATTTATAATATTAGTAGGATAGCTATGTCCTTTCACGGGACTCAAACTATCTCTATGCCACATCAAAATCGGTTCAGTGGTTTAGGCGTAAAAGCCACACAGACAGAGTTATTTTCGCATTTATAATATTAGTATAGATATTTATTTGCCTTACAAAATAATTTAGATTGAATAAGGCCCAGACGGTGATACGCAACTGCAAAGAAACTGCAACTGCTAGTTACTTTTGAGTTGCATCAACTTTCAGTTTCAGTTTCATTCATAAGAATCATCAGAAAGTTGCAGTTTCGTTGCAGTTGCGTTTCACCGTCTGTTCTGGGCCTGAGTATCACAGGCATGACTCGCTCGTGGCTCGCGCCGCATAATCTAATAAAGCTTCCCACATGGCCCTCCGGCAATTTTATCGCGCCAGATATAGAAATTACAAACAACTAATGTATATTAACTTGCAGATAGCCGGATATGTTAATCTGGGGGAAAATAAACCAAATTATAGGTCGTCTTTTAACCGTTTAAAAAAAAGAAGGGGTTCTCAATTCGACTGTATCCAAATAAATTGATTAGTAGCTGAATACGCAATGCTTCGAATATAAAAGTCATAAAAGTTGTTTATTTTCTACAATTACCTAGGCTTTTTAAAGACCTGTCCTACATAAAGTTGATAAAAAGATAACTACATATTTGAAAGACTGTAAACCCTTGAAACCAACCGGGCAACATGGAAAGCATTGGGGGAGGCCTATGTTCAGCTGTGGACGTCCTATGGCTGAGATGATGATGATGAAAACCTTGAAAAAGAGGCTGACAATAGTGACTGAATATCTTGCGCTGCTTCTCAGCACTGGCCCATTTATTGTTCCGAAGCAGTGGTAGGGTTGATACTGGGACGTGTAAAAGTGCTTTCTAAAAGCCTTCTTGGAAAAATAAAATGAGTTTTATCACTTTTAATGCTACAGTAGCTTATTATACCGTCATAAGTGCCACAGATTTGTATCAGTAATTGAAGATAAAGTTTCATTTTATCAGTTTCTCTTGGGAAAGCTCCAGCGCCGCGGCCACTTGAAGCTGACATGTGGTTTGAAGCAGTTTATTTTAGTTACTGCACTTGTGTGATTGGAATTTGATGCATTCGGACTGTTAACTGTTCAATTAGTTATTGTTTTATTTTAATTTAATTGGTTTTTGTCCGCGGCTTTGGCTGAAGTCAGTCTGTCGCAGAAAAACTGTTACGCATGAGTGTCTCCTTTTTTTAAAGACTGGGAAAAAAACTGCCCTGTTTTTTCCTGGGTTTAAATTAGTGATGAAACGGATAGTTGTTTGGCCGGATACCGGATACCGGATATCCGGCCAGCTGCTAGGCCGGATAGCCGGATATCCGGCGGCCGGATAGTTGGCCCATTGTCTCGTTGCATGTCGTGACGAGTTTAGCGCCGCACAGGTGTTTCGAACGCGATCAGTGGGTCTATTAGTAGACTAGACTAGTTACTTTTCGAAAATCGAATTCATCCGAATCCGACATTCTATGTCAGATTTTGCCACTTGTCTAGGGGGCAGATTAATTCGGGCGATTTTGGTTGCCATCGTGAGTGTGTGATTGAATAGCGAAAATTTATTTGGCAATATTTTGACATTAACAGATATTTACCATTTATGTATTCGTCATTAGAGATAATAGCCCAGAAAAAGAAATTAGATTTTTGAAAGGCCTTAATATGGCTTTTTGTAACTTTTTGGACTTTTAATAAAAGCCGTCATTATTATAAGCCATTTTATTGATATTTATTTACCCCAAAGATTTAATGTTTACATTTTATTAATAGGAAATTGTCGTAGTTTTTTAATATCCGGTATCCGGCCGGATAGTGAGTTACTATCCGGTATCCGGCCGGATAGTAAATTTAGGCCGGATATCCGGCCTACCGGATAGTTACCGGATATCCGTTTCATCTCTAGTTTAAATCTATAACTAGGTATCTATAGGTACTAAATTCATAGAAATTAATTTATTTTCAGTAAGTTAGCTTTTAAAAAAAATAAAATTAGACTTCCAAAATAAGCACATTATACCTAAGGTAGAGCAATTAACACTTTTTAAATTAATTAGGGCTAATAATTAGGTAAGTGTACACCATTGAACAAAAGATACTTATACACTTCTTATTAGATATTTTTTGATACAGTCTATACATACCTACTGTTTCTCATCACTACTTCAATCTTAGCGTTAGACTCCACACAGTCTATAGACTTTGTCGACCAATAGTTTAGTTAGTGAGTTTGATAAATAATCAGTGAACGCACTCTACACCGATTTGGTACCGGCCGATTCCTCATCCAAATTACACAAACATTACTAAATTACCATGAGGTCTCACAGTGCGCGTGGACGCACAGGGTGACACACAAACCAATCACAGAGCTCAATTCAACGCGGTGCGTTCGATTTGCTGCTTCACTTAAGCAAGCATCGTTTGTGAATACGGGCGTAAGAAGCCAACCAAACTCTCAGCCGATAAAAAGTTCGTTCGTTTCAGCCGAAAGACGTCCACTGCTGGACAAAGGCCTCCCCCAAGGATTTCCACAAAGACCGGTCCTGCGCCGCTTGCATCCGCGCCCACGAGCTGGAAGACGATAAAAAGTACACAATCAATATTATAGGTACTTTTCGTTCGTTCTGACCGATCCTGAGCTGCCCGCATCCAGGTCCTTCCCCCGGCTTCACCAGATCTTCGGTCCTCCTAGTGGGGGGCCTGCTTACACTACGTCTTCAGGCCCTTACGTAGTTCGAAATCTGTTGGGATTCCAAACTAATCTTCTGTCACCTCACCTGTACATTGTCAGCATTCCTCCTCCTCGGAGGCGTGTGGTGCAGCTCTGCTCTGAACCCTCCTGCCGGCTCGCCATCCGTCTCCAGCACCTTCAGGAGATACGAGATGTAGGAAGTGGCCAGTCTGAGGGTCTTGATCTGTAGGGAAAAGTTTTATTTTAGTAAAGCACTAACGTATTCACAAACATTACTATAAGGTCTCACAGTGCGCGTGGACGCACAGGGTAACAAATGAACCAACCACAGAGCTCTATTCAACGCTGTGCGTTCGATCTGCTGCTTCACTTAAGCAATCATCGTTTGTGAATACGGGCGTAAGCCTGGGTTGCACCATCTTACTTAAACTTTAAGAAACGTCAAGTTTGTTAAACTCCATACAAAAAACTCAGCTTTAAGTAACACCAACTTATTTAATAACAGTAACTATGCTAGCTATGTAACTATGGCGTTTTTTGTATGGATTATTGACGTTTGTTGTTTTTAAAAGTAAAATGATGCGACCTTAGCCTAAATCCTTCTAAAACAAAAGAAAATCACTTGATCAAAGAGAAGACTCCCCACGACTAGGTATTAAGACTTTTTGGTCGGGCTGTTAAATTAGTAAGCGACCTCGCACTAGGCAGCCTCAGCCAGGCAGCCAAGAATGTTCATACCGAACGGGATGCCACAGCCAGGCTGCCTGGTGCGCGGAATGCCTAAGCAAGGACATGTACGAAAGTGCGCACATTACACCGATTTGGTATCGGCCGATTCCTCATACAAATTGGAACCCGATCAAACTATTGGCCGATAAAAAGTATGTGGTCCGTAGGGAGTCTCTAAGTTGGCAAACTGAAACGTCAGCTCCTATTGCTTTTAAAAATGTATGGGGGAATCGCGTTTTAAAGTATGTCAATTGATTGGTGGGATGTCAACTGCCCACTCTGTTAGGCTGGGTTGCACAGTTGCACCATCTTACTTTAAATTTAACAAACGTCAAAAATTTGTCTAACTCCATACAAAAAGCACCGGTTAACGTTATTCTTACGGTTAAAATCAGGTGGTGCAACTCAGCCTTAGTATTCTATAGTCTTAATAAATAGCCAGCCTCTTTTTCAATTATTTTCACTGAACCGGTTTTTTGACATTTTTAGTAACCTATCTTCAAAAGGTAAAGATATTTATAAGGAGCTCTTTTTTTATGTGACAGGAGGCAAACGAGCAGACGGATCACCTGATGGTAAGTGATTACCGTCGCCCATAGACACCCGCAGACCCAGGGGCGTTACAGGTGTTACAGCTCTAGTTCTAACATATCATAAAAGTATTTTTTTCTGCAAATAAGCTTCTAACATCTCAAAAAAGTAATTTTCTTTTCTGAAAACAGGCATTTAAAAAGTGCTTTTGCACGTCCCAGACAGTCCTATAATTAACTTTAATCCATTGCTGGGACAATAAATGGGCCAGTGCTAGAAAGCCACAAAAATGGACTATTGCAATCGGCTAAAATGATTTTAAATTAAAATAATACACACCTTAGATAACTTAGTGTCGGCCGGCACGTTCGGGATGCGCCCGCGCAGGTCTGTGAATGCGGTGTTGATGCTCTGGTTTCGTTTCCGCTCCTTATTCGAGCCCGGCTGCTCGGCGTGCACAAATACCCAAATTAGTGCCGCCATATTGGATTTAATTTGACGTTGGTATGACGTTGGCTTAAGTCGTTAAATGGAGCATCGATTGATGTATAATTTGTCAAAATCGGCCCGGCAGTTTTGGAGTTATTAAGGAACAAACATACACATTTCCAAAATTATATACTGTGAGTTTGGTCTAATAAAAATATTGTATTTGTTAGAAACTAATAATATTTTACATAATAAGTTATTAGGCCACTGGACTCCCTAGTTAATTGACATACTTTTTTGAGCTGTCAAAACGCGACTCTCCCATAGATTTTGAACTCTACAACAAGGTTCATGACGTCACTAGTTCGCGGACTCAATAATTATTGACTTGGTACTAAAATGAAAAAACAACAACACAAGTAATAGAAAAGTACAAATTAACCCGGTCAAGTTAACTGCGCATCTAGCGGCCGTGACGTCATATCGACGCTCTGGCACAGAATAAGTAATAGTACAGGTACCTACAGAAGGATTACTCCGCAAGACGATTTAAATAAATGCGAGTCTTGCTACGACGCGATACAGTGGAATTCAGCTCGCACAGCACTACGTACCTACAATTTTATTCACCTATAAGTTTTGTCTCTTTCTATCGCGTGCCTCTGAACTCTTCTTACGCTGTTAGGGTTGCTGTCTAGTGAAAAAATAATTAATCTACTTATTTGTAATGAAGTACGTATGTAGGTAAGTATGCATTCATTATGGAAAACCTTCATAGTAGGTTAGGTTCCTATACTATCTTAAGAATTATTGATTACCTACATGGCCAACATACCTTTCAGCATCTTTGGGAAGCGAAAAAAAAAGATAAATCCGGTAGATTACTTTTCGAATTTAAACACCCGAACGCCGCACAATATTTCTTTCTCTTTATGTCCATTTTTAAATAATACTTCGATCATAGAATTATAATCATACTACAACGCATGCCAGCGTCCTGACGAGCGCGCGCGTGACACTCGACTGATATAATACCCGCCGGCGGGGCGCTTCGCTGTAGGTAATTATCGGATGTACCGCGCGGAGTGAGCCAGGCCTGGCTCTGGTACGAAATGGGCGAACGCGAGGACACATGTGCGAGTGAGTGCGAGGGAGAGCCGCATTCCAGCGAGGTACGCAGTTAACTCGACTCGATTTTCAGGACTAGATTTAAAAGTGGGTTTTAAATAAGTGGCGTTTTGGTTAAAACTACTTCTTGCTCATATATCCAATTGAAATCTTTTTAGGTATCTTAATACACAGGCAGGCACCACAATCAATTGACATACATTTTAAAGGACGAAGCACCCTTATCAACCCAGAAACGGACCATAACCGTCAACTCGAGGCAGTCAGTATTCTTTGTATGAAACTCCATACTGCAACGCACTATGCGCACCGTGACGTAAACGCGTCGCCTCGCCGTTGACAGCGCGACGAAAGGCAATACCGTGTTGATCCCTTTCCGGGTTGATAAGTGTGCTATGACCTTAAAACTCCCCCCTAGACAAGTGGCAAAACGCGTCAGTTGTAATTTTGAAAAGTCTTTCGCTCTGGCGTTTTTTGTGTTTCTTCGCTCCGTAAAAGGAAGAAGCGTAAATTTGATTTTCGGAGCAATCAAAAAGTGCCACTTGTTTAAAGGGGCTCCTCCCTTTTTGGAGTCGGTTAAAACTAGTATTTATTAAGGCTGGGTTGCACCATTTTACTTTAACGATAACCGGTGTTGTTTGTACGAAGTTTGACTCACTTTTGACATTTGTAAGTCAAAGTAAAATGGTGCAACAAAACTTTAGTATTTAGCCAAAATCTCACCTTGGACAGCTTAGTATCAGGCGGCACGTTCGGTATACACTCCCGTAGATCCGAGAACGCAGTGTTGATGCTTTGGGTGCGCCTGCGCTCTTTCTTATTGGCTGTGCTTCGACGTTTGACCACGCGGACAAAAGATGGTGCTGGACGCTCGTAGCGGAGCGGTAGAGGCTGCATATCGCAGTCTAGGGCTGGACAAAGAAATATGCATCTTAAGAAGGTAATAAATTCTAAAATGTCGCACTCTCGAGCTGATTTTAACTTTCCCCCAGACAAACTTGACCTTCTTTGGTTGGATTTTTATTGGCAGTAAAGATGTAGATCCTGGCTGCACAGGAGCTGCTTGGTACGAACGAGAGGTGAGAATAAGTGACATGTAAGGAGGACACAGTGGTTGCAGCACTGGGAAAGAGAGGTCTAGGGCTGATCAAACAACTAGGTTATCTTAAGACAAGGTTTTTTCCAGAACTTTGCTGTCCCATCGACCGTCAGTTCTATGCACTACGCGTCCCCATTGCCACTTCAGTTTGCTTAATTCGTCAGACTATTTCAGCATCTTTAGTTCGTTTACGGATCTCCTCATTTCTGATTCGATCTCGTAAAGAAACTCTCCATAGCACGCTGTGCAACTTTGTGGTTTGGGGAGACCTGATATTCGCATATTTGTCCCCTACGTTAACTATACATATCTACAGGAAAAGCGGAGTGACAAACCACTGGTTGGGAACCACTAATTTAAAGTTTTTGACTTACCTGGTCCATTCGTGGCGTACGCATGATGCATGGGATGAGGGTAGGTGTCGTAGGGTTCGTTTCCATTCATTTGCATGTCTTCGTAACCTGCAGGAAAGAACATAAATTAATATTATTTTTATAATAACTACAACATCATCATCTACTCTACATATAAATAGAGGCAAATGGAGGATGTGGCCTACACCACTTCTCACGCTAGCCAGACGGGTTGGAGAGGCCTGGTGTTCGCATGTTTCTTCCCAATTAGATTGCGCTCGCATTATCATTTCAGCCACAGGACGTCCACTGCTGATCATAGGCCTTCCTCAATGATTTCCATATCGACCAGTTGATAGCGGCCTGAATTCAGCGCCTTCCTGCCTGCTACCTAAACTTTATGAGGTCGTCAGACGTCTCACGCTGCGATTTCCGGTACGTACGTGGCCTCTACTCCAGAACTTTGCTGCCCCATCGGCCGTCAGTTCTGCGTACTATGTGTCCTGCCCGTTGCCACTTCAGCTTGCTATTAATCCATCAGGCTATGTTACGACTTTTAGTTCGCTTACAGATCTCCTATTTCTGATCCAATCTCGTTAAAAAACACCGAGCATAATAAGTATAGTAGTAATAAACAACGCTGGGGCAGAAAAGGTCTCGAATGGTAATCATGGGCCTGAAGACGTAGAGTGGACAGGCCCCCCACTATGTGTGTATCGACCTCAGATCATAGAAGGGAATAGATGTGAAACAGGGGCGTGGCGCGTGTCTCCGCGATATGCCCAGAAACGAACATCGCCCGCGACGCCAGGTTAGTCGCGATTCAGTCGTACTGGGGAAATGTTCTCCGATATTGTTGGATAATGCGTCGTAACGTGCAATAACATAAGTAAAACGAAGAACTACAGGAACAATGAAGTCATTTACCACATGTAAGTATTGTAAATCCATTGGTATTTTGCTTATAAATAAAAAAAACTAAACATTTTTACGAACGAATTCAGTGCCGTGACATTTACTGCGATATCGAAATTAGTGGTGATAAAAATTCAAACACGTTGTACATTGACGATTTAGTTAGCAACCACTTTATGTCATGCGTAACTACTGCGCAATGTATTTTATTTCTTCCGATATCCACTGACGCGTGAAAATACACAGTACGGCCGCATGTGCCGGTCGTAACATAGTGCAGGGCTCGTGTTCTAATACGGTTTCCTATTATCGATAAATAGAAGTAAATTATTATTTTCTATTTTCTAATTTTGAATGAAAAAATCATGAGTTGCTTGCGATTTTTAAGTTTTTACAAAAACAATAACAATAGTAGAAGGGATTAGTAACTGTCAACTATGTAATTACTATAAGAGCTAGTTGAAAGCCTAATATAGGCATTATTTTTGATAAACATAGGCGGTACGAACCAATTTCGAGCCTTGCCCCCAGGATTTAAAGTATCGATATCTTATCGACTCCATTTTATCATTCTTCTCTCTAATTGCTTTTTTCAAAGTGTGCGTCACGTCACGCGGCCATTGATTGGCCATAAGGCACGCCTTCTGGCCAATCACAGCACTTTTAAGCCGGTTGCACATGTTGTCGTAGACTCTCAGTCGCTTTGTTTTTACACAGTTGAATGTGTGTGTGGGAGCTGTGGTGGGGGAAATGTGGGGACACTGGTTCTCGTTGTAGTTACGCGCGACTTCATATCTATTCTCTTTCTATGATCTGAGGTATCGACGAACTAGTGAAGGTCGCGGGAGGTGCTTCGGTGCAGCGACACAGGACCGGTCATTATGGAACCTTTGTCCAGTAGTGGACGTCATTTAGCTGAAACGAACGATCTAAGGAATACTTACTGTAATTCCTGCTGATGTAATGCGTGTTGTCATAATGTGTGTCCTGGGGCTCGAACTCGTGGCCTTCTCCGTTGGTGGCCGGCCAATATACTCCCCCGTCCATCGGGCTGCCTGGGATAATTAACAGGTCATATTTTAGACAAAACAGTAGCCTCTCCTTCTAAATGCGCCTTGTAAACTGCCTAGCTCGCATTTATTTGTATTATCTTATAAACTGTAGAAAATAAAATATTATAGTTAGGCTTTAAAGGCGAAATAAAAGCCTGATGCCCGTTTTCACCATCAATCCCTAATTTTTAAGTGAATCCTATGAATACAAAATGCCTGTATTGTGTCACCATAGGGGTCACTTAAAAATTAGGAATAAATTGATGGTGAAAACAGGCATGAGTGTCTTCCGCCAATTTTTAGCACCATCCAATAAGTAGGTATGTTGTCCCGCTTAAATGATGGTAGGGCCTGTAGTTCTACTTAAAATAACCTACATTATAATGAAGAATACGTGGACTAGGTTTTCACTAGTGTATAATAACTTTGTCTACTGTTAAAATGGATGAGAAAAATAAATTGATAATCTACTTAGGATCTAACAAACTAAGTGTAGATTCAAGCTCTTGGGCTGAGTTGCACCACAGATTTGTGATGTTTATAAAGTTAAAATAAGATGGTACAACCCAGCCTTAAATGATAAAAATGTAATACAGTTCTTACAGACCTAAGTGCGAGGGCTGGCAGTAGAAGGCAGGCTCGTAGCGGTCAAACCCTTCGTCCGAGGGGGACATGCTGCCGTAGCTTGACATCTCACCTGTCAACAAAATGAAACACTTACTTACCTACCTACTAAAGGATGAAGCACACTTATCAACCCGGAAACGGATCTTAACCGGATCAACTCAGGAGTACGAGGCGGTCAGTATTCTTTATAAAACTCCGTACTGCAACGCACCGTACGTAACGCCTTGCCTTGTTGGATTATAGACGGAAAATAAATGATCCTTTTCCGGGTTGATATAAGTGTACTAGACCTTTATTATTTTCAGAGCACCAGAAACATTTTCGTATAAAATGTTACCAAGATAAGACCATTATAATGACTCAAGCCTCCAACTCTACACACCCTAGTATTACTCTACAAGCCCTAACTAAACAAATCCTATAATCTATATAAATAAAAATGAATTGATGTTCGTTAGTCTGATTAAAACTCGAGAACGGCTGGGCCGATTAAGCTGATTTTGGTTTTAATATGTTTGTCGTAGTCCAGGGTAGGTCTAAACGGTGAGCAAATACGCGCGCGATTTTGTTTTTCTGTGACAGACAAAATTCCACGCGGGCGAAGCCGCGGGCGGAAAGCTAGTTTAGAAATAAATTTTATTGTGTTATGACTACATTTTTTCTTCACTTTTTGTTTATATTTTCTATATAAAATATTTTACCATTTAAACTTTCCGTAAACTACGACACTTTCAAAACCAAAATTGGCACAGCAATTCATTTTCAACAATTTTAATCGTCTTACGTTACGGCTTTCTGGGCCAGAAGAAGTAGCTAGGTAAGTACAAAAACTGCTCTGTTAGTCACTATTTTATCAGTCTCTTTTTTCAATAATTTAACAAGAATAACCAACCTAATAACAACCCAGATTAAAGCTGGGTTGTACCATCTTACTTTAAATGACATTGGGAACTTTTTGCCCCACTTTTCGAAAAGTAGCGGACACAAACGAAACCTATCACAGATGATACATACTAATATCCAATGAATTTCCGTGCATTTTTTTTCTCTCTCATAAATGGGAATATTGAGAAAATGAAGTTTTAATATTTTATTTTATTTTACATTTAGGTAACATTTTTGACGACCTCCGTGGCGGAGAGGCGCACACACCGGTTTTCAAGGTGTGCCGGGCCAATCCTGAGGTCCCGGGTTCGATTCCCGGCCGGGACAATATAGAAAACGATCTTTTCACATTGTCTCTGGTTTGGGTTCGTCGTTCCCGATTTCCATAACACAAATGCCTTAGCTACTTATTTTGGGTTGGAGTAATATATGAGATGTTTTCTAATATTAATTTAAGTATTTATAATATTTTATTTATTTATATTATTTTATTTATATTTTTTATTTATTTATATTATTTTATTTACTTTTATTGGTTACTCTGCAATGCCAAACAACATAACATGTAAAAATATCAAATCATTTTAGACAAATATATTTTCAACTTAGACTCGTCATATCTCAGAATTCCCATATCTCACAACATAGCGCTTTAAGTGAATATACCTACAAGTATAAAGCTTTGAAATAAAATACGTTTCATCTTTGTCCGCCGTGGGGCATTTTCTCATATTAAAGTTCCCAATGTCCAACAAGCGTCAAATTCCATATAAAATCACTGGATAAAGTTATAGTCACCGTTAAAATAACAACTCAGCCAAGTATTCATTTTTACACGACTTTTATGAACTCACGAAGAAGCAATTTTTTTTCTGGTTTATCATAACCATCTTTATTTATGACTACAAAGAAAGCATCAGAAGCTTTCATAAGCTCAAGCGTTCACAAACTGAAAGGCGCCAGTAACACAGCGTCTGCAGTCAAGTGGTGCTTGAATGAGATTACGCGTGCATCAGCTATAACTGATACAGATATCTCTATGCATTTCATTTTATCTTTCACGAGCTTTTGCCCACAGTTTCGTTTGCGTTAAACTTTATTACAGCACCGTTTATTTCAAAAAATCCATAGGTACTTACTTAGCGGGCGCTTACTTGAATAGAAGTATTTTTTACTACCTATGCAAGAAGTAATATTTTACTTTTAGGGGTCCTATAATGAAAAAAGTTAATTTAGATTGTTTGCACACAGACGTCTGGGAGACGTCAGGTCCACAAGGTGGACCGACGACCTGATAAAGGTAGCAGGAAGGCGCTGGATGCAGGCCGCTACCAACCGTGCGATGTGGAAGTCATTGGGGGAGGCCTATGTTCAGCAGTGGACGTCCTGTGGCTGAAATGATGATGATGATGATGACACAGACGTCTTAAAATGGCTGTGTATACCAGGTCCTTATTATACCTAGTACTAGTTTGAAGTTAATACTTAATTGGAAGCAATTCTTAAATGATTTAATGACTTAACTGAAAGCGCTTTTACACGTCGTAGACCAATCGTTCTGGGAATCCGTGGGCATGGCGTTTGTCCAGCAGTAGACGGCATTAGGTTGAAACGAATGGATGAACAAGGTGGACAGACGACCTCATAAAGGCAGCGAGAAGGCGCTGGACATAGTCCGCTAAATCGGCCATCTGGGAATCATTGGGGGAGGCCTATGTTCAGCAGTGGACTACCTGAAATGATGATGATGAATGAACGAACGAGAACCTAATTCCATAAAAGTTAGTGTTAAGTACCTACTTAACTACTAAATCTTTGTTTGTATCCTGTCATCTGCTTTGCAACGGAGGGAAGTCGAACTATAACTTCGAACTCCTATGTTTTTCTGATTAATTTCGTTGCGGGTCCAATGACAGAACTTTCCCCTGAGCAAACTTGAAGTTCACTGGTTGGGTTTTTATTGGCGGTCAAGCTGTAGATCCTGGATACACAGGAGTTGCAGCGGTGGGAACGAGAGGTGGGAATAGTCCCGTTACCAAATCTGACACAGGGCTCAATGTCAAACATCTAAGTTAAACATGTGCAGCGCACGTTGTGGTTATCAGTTTGTTTATAATTAAACAATGTTTACGGACCAAATGTTGCGACACGGCAATATTAAATTTAAGGGAAAAACTTCCGCTTCTAAGAATAACTAATCAAAAATTAAACAATTTTAAGGCCCTGTAATGTAACTTACACGAGCAAGATTTTTGCACCTTTTGGGCGTTAAGAATCTACGTACTACTTATCTCATAACTCTAACAGTCCTACATACTAATAACTAAATTATAAAGAAGTGTAGGTATTATGTTATCTACTTATATAAAAATAAGTCGGGTTTTCCTCCCTGACGCTATAACTCCAGAACGCACGAACCGATTTCCACGGTTTTGCATTCGTTGGAAAGGTCTCGGGCTCCGTGAGGTTTATAGCAAAGAAAATTCGGGAAAAGGGGGTAAAACAGGATCCACGCGTACGAAGTCGCGGGCGGCCGCTAGTAAAATATGAAAATGCAGCTAACTAGAGCTAAACTACTCTATTTCATTTAAAAGTAAGCTACCTAGGTAGGTAAGTAGGCAATGTAATTTCTTTTCACAATTTACGAAACGGCTGCACAGATTGTGATGGAATTTTGATAGACAGCTGATGTAACATTGTTACTAGGTATTAAGTATTCTGTAGTTACAGTGCCTTTCAATTTAGTAAAGACAAAAAGATACTTACGAATTTCTAAAAAAACAGTCGTCAATTGATAGCAAATCAATTGAAATTACAAAAACACTCACATCACACAAAAACTCTAGAATAAATCAATAGTTTAGATTCTTTTCACCACCCACTAAATTCAAAAACACTTTTTTTTCTTATTTCACTAAATCACCAAATTTCACACTAAATCACCCAAAAGATTTCACTAAAAATCGTTTTCAATCAAAACCACTTTAGCTCTCACATGTTTAATTTAACCGACTTCAAAAAAGGAGGAGGTTCTTTTTAAAATCGCTGCATATTATTTCGTTGAAAAATGCGCGCGTTTCGTTCGATCTCTTTAAAGGTACTGTCTTGTATTTGGATTCTGTTATCTCCCAGAGATGAAAGGGGAGGGGCCTGGATAGTGGGAGGGGCTTACTAACTGTCACAAATGACATTATTTTGTAACTTTAAGAGTAGGCGCACACCGTTGATTTTTCGTCGGCCGATAGTTTAGTCGGGCTGTTGATCAGTATGGGCATGTATGGGAGTGCGCACACTACGCCGATTCGATTTGGCCGATTCTTCATACAATTAAAAATCGGGCACAACTATCGGCCAACTAAAAATCAACGGTGTGCGCCTACTCTAAGACACCCCGCAGACTGCAAACTTTGTCGGCCGATAGTTTGGCCTGTTTAATCAGTATGAACTCAAAGTATTGACCGATTCCTCATAAGTAGTCTTCTAGCGACTTGACCCATTTTTAGCTTGGTCCTTGGGCCAAGTCGCCGGATTGATTTTTTAAATATTTTTTCTTCCGGCAACTGTGCCCACTAACAGATTAAAGTAGATTTTTATTGATTTCGTGTTTAATTGATTAATATGCACATTGAAGGTTGCCGGAAGAAGGGCCTGGTGTTGCTGTTTTTGTTTGAACATGCTCATTTTCGACTTAAATAGTTAAACCGGGTAACAACGCGACGTTTTTACAAGAGTTTTAAACTCAACCTTTTTAAATTATTATTTCTACCGGAAATTGATGCTCAAAGTTTAAGCCCCGCCCAACGCCCCTCCCTACGATTGGAGAACCCTTCCTACCAATGCAGGTGGCTTATCAGTGTCATTGGATTCTCAACCTTACAGCTGTAGACTCAAAAGCCATTTCTAAGCGGTGGGTATTTTGAAAAGGGCTTGGTACATACTACAAATAGAGTCCAGTAAGCCTAAGCTGTTCAGAATAAAATTGACACCCTTACTGACTTGACGATTTCTGCAATAAAAGTACTTACAGGTTGTATTTTTGCCACTGCCACTTGATTTAGCAATTCTGCGAGTTATGTCGGTCACTTTGGTTCTCCTGCGGATCTCCTCATTTCAGTAAGTCTTGTGCGGCTAGCACGAAAAACTTTCGAGTTCGAATAGTTTGCGTATTCGAATCACCATCAAGAGATTTAGTACGAAAACTACAACAGCGCCTTTGTGAACGTGTCATGAAGTGAATTTAGTATGAGCAATGGTTGCACGAAACATGTTTTGAGAATAAAAAAAAAAAAAACTTTCGGTATGCATGGTGCAGTGTGTGATGGATCATTGTTTAAATTACATAATGTTTTAGCTTCCCTTCAGTAGGATATTTAAATCCATAATGGTTGTCACTCGAGAAGGTATGTAGAAATGTTTAATGTTGGATAGTCTAATTGGCCTACAAAATCTATTAAAAACGTTATTATCACAGATTGATATTGTGCTGTGTACTATCCTTAAATAAATAAATAAAATGACGTTATCATTTAATTCAAAGGTTGAGTATCGAATTTTGTCGAATACGCAAACGATTCGAAAACAAAAGTTGTTCATGCTAGCGGTACCTACTGATTCGATCACGCAGGGACATGAAGGAAGAGCCTGGATGCGGGCAGCGCAGGACCGCTCGTTAAGGAAACCTTTGGGGGAGGCCTTTTATCATCCAGCAGTGGACGTCATTTGGCTGAAACGAACGAACTTACTGTTTTCTTCTCAACTATGTCTTCCATTACTTGATTAGACTCCATTGACTCACCAAATTGCACAATAATAGGTATAATTGTGGGGCTATAATCAGAAATATGGCTTCATTCCGCGATAAAAGGTATATTAAGGTCAATTTAGATGATATATTAGATGGATCTTCACAGCTGCATTTGTCTATGAAGTTATTTGTGTGCTGAGTGCATCGAAACGGCTGGACGGGTTTTGATGGCACTTTCACGAATACAGATTTCAGCCACAGGACGTCCACTGCTGAACATAGGCCTTTCCTAATGATTTCTATATTGACCGGTTAGTTGCAGCCTGCATCCAGCGCCTTCCTGCTACCTTTATGAGGTCGTCGGTCCACCTTGTGGACCACACTACGCTTGCCAGTAGGTAGGTACGTGGCCTCGTTCAACCACTGGAATACGCAATTTTTTATAAGCAGTTAATATTCACTGCTTATAAAAAATTGCGTGTGGTTTACTGATTAATTCTTATGTTACGGTTAATGTGATAAATTTAAAATTATTAATAATAACCGGTTATTATGAATAATTACCGACAGTCGCGGTAAAAGTGATAAATTAATCACATTTAACAGTGATTATTTAATAATTCAACCTTAGTACTAACAAATTTCATAAAAGAGAACAACATCTTGTGTACGTGCTCGTGTACAGCCAAACTTTTGAACGTTTTGATATCATATATTAATATAATGAGTTTGGAATGTTTCTTGCATAATATTACTTTACCATGATGCCTTTAACATAATGTTTTGATTTAAAGTGAAAAATAGGTTAAGGTGCGGCTTAGGGGTGGCCCAAGGGCCACCCCTAAGCCGCCTATTTAGTTTTTTACACACATAAATGACCTCATATTAATCATATTTACCAAATCATGCGGTGATTATTCATAATAACCGGCGATTATTCATAATTTTCACATTTATCACTTTGACCGTAACACTTATACTGTTTGTCTATGTTTCATTACTTTTTTAAATTGAAAGGAAGGCGCTGGACGCAGGCCGCTACCAACCGGTCAACATGAAAAGCATTGGGTGAGGTCTATGTTCAGCAGTGGACGTCCTATGGCTGAGATGATGATGATGATTAAATTTAATATAGGTCTAGCGCCCAGTCAGTAACCTCAGTCTGTGCCTGAGGCATGGGAGCGGCACGGGAGGGGTGACATTGACATAATATTATGACGTGACAGAGCATACAAATCTGTGGGTCTAGACAAAGTGCAAATTATAATCGCAAACCAGTCGAAAAGTGGTCGAAAAGCCCCTTTTTTGTATGGAGTTTTGACGGATTCGATTTTCGATTCGATCAAAAAGTGCGTTTTGTCTAGGGGGGCTGAAGTCTCGCTCACGTTTGACGTCCCAAAAATACCCTCCCGTGCCGCTTCCATACCTCAGGCACTGACTCAGTTAAGTGCTATAGTCCGGTCCCCGAGCACGTAGAATTTCGTCCAATGACCCTAAGCTACCCATCCTTATCGCTCGCGCGTAATTATATTGCTGTCGTGACTGTGCGACGGGCGGCCGCACAGTGGTCTGAAAATGAAGCTCCCATACCATAGAAACTTAATGTCAGAAATTAATAAATAAAAATATGTATTGTGTTTAGTATACCTCCCTTTGTTTTACTAATATAGTATGAAGGGTATGAGTAGCTCCATGTGTGAGAAAAAAAATATTTTAATTTTTTTTGTATGGAAAAAAACACTTAAAGTGGATTTTTTTTTAAACTGAATAGAACTGAAGGGCTGGTACTCACATGAGCTATTGCACCATATACGGCGATCAAGATGACATACAATTCTTGTGCCTTTGGTTGCCGCTTTGCATGTACCAAGCTTTGGAAATTTTGAATTTTCGGTAGGTGATCTTTCAAGTCTTTGATGTTATTTTATTAAGTTATTAACCGCTTTCAATACGAGAATAGTATGTAAATTAATACTCATATAACTAGGAATATTTTTAAATAATTTTTATTTTGAAAATATAAAAAAATAAAACATTTAATCATTGAATGAAGTAACCAACCAGTTGGTAACTGACATTGTTATTAGGTACTAACCTGCTAATGACGTTTTAATGAAAATAATAGAAATCAATATTGATTAAATAAACAACTTAAAAAATCGAACTGCCTATAATAGGCCAGTAGAATTACATTTGAAATCTGAAATAATTCCTACAAAAGATTTTATTATTTTAATGGCTTCATTTGTTACTCATTAAGACTATCTTAAATTTTCGACTTCGACGGAGTTGTGCTTAAGTGGTGGGGGGCCCCCGAAAGGGGCGTTTTTCGGTTTTACGGTTATATCGCGTAAAGGACTTACCCTATCGAAAACTGGGCTTCATGACGGTTGAAGAGCATTTAATCCTGCATTGAATAAGACCAAATTCAAGTGTTTTGGACAAACTATTCTCGTGCTTATCTTCGAAAAAGTACAAAATGTACGTATAATTAATGATCCTCTCCACGTCCAACGGCTCGATACCCGCAGGATTCCAAGTTTTGAAAAGGGCCGCCTCAACCAGTGTAACCCTGTCAAGGCTTACGAACTGGATGCGCCTATATCTTGTTCGTCCCAGCCATTCGACACGTTGCCTAATCGATGCCTGGTATGGTATGCTAAAAGTCGTTCAGGAGAGTGCAAGAAAGAGGTGCAGTAACCGCAGTTAAGGAACGGCTGGGACGAACAAGGATAGGTGCATCCAGCTCTTAAGCCTTGACAGGGTTAAACTGGTTGAATCGGCCCTTTACAAGGCTTGGGAGCCTGAGAGTGACGAGCCATTGGACGTAGAGAGGGTCAATAATTATACGTACATTTTGTACTTTTTTGAAGATAAGCACGAGAACGGTTTGTCCAATACATAATATGTATTAAGAATTTGGTCTTATTCAATGCAGGATCAAATGCCCTTCAACCGTCATGAAGACCAGTTTTCGATAGGGTAAGTCCTTTACGCGATATAACCGTAAAACCGAAAAAACGCCCCTTTCGGGGGCCACCACCACTTAAGCACAACTCCGTCGAAGTCGAAAATTAAGGATAGTCTTTAGTAACAAATCAGGAACTGGCTGCGTTCCAAACCAGAAGAAAAACACCACACAGAATGGAAAAATAGCGAAGGATGCAGGCAAACAAAAGATGCGGTTCCGGACGTATCGAAAAACTAACTCACCAGACTAAACAGGGACAGCATCCGCAAGGTCCTCAGTGTCATAACCGGACACTGGATGCTAAACAAGCACCTACACAACATAGGTGTTACAGACAGCACACTGTGCAAGGGGTGCATGGAGG